AAAAACGGTGAAAAGAGTGGCGGTGGAAAACCCTTTGTCCAGAGATGGACACACACAGGTCGCCGTTGTCGGCGCTTGTTTCAAAAAACGGTGGCAGGCGTGCTTGGTCAAAACTAATAGCCACCTAAAAAGCCTTAGAAAGACAGAGAAAGCAAACAAAACAAAAGCAGACTAAGAGGGCAAGAAAGAAAGATAGGAGTAGTTACGAGGCCCACTTAATTAAATGAAAGTAGAACGCGAGCGGGACATTCGTCTTAAACCGCCCGGGTAGCTAGCAATAGGCTAGGAGAAACAGAAGGAAAGGCACCAACACACAAGTGTGTTGAGTGCGATTTCCTTCTGTTTCCCGAGTAGCGGGTGGGATAGCAACGGAGGCCTGGGGGTAGGCCTGGGGGTAGGGAGGGGAATGCATGATGAATTCGTCCGGCCTGTGAATACTTAGCAGCTCATGCATGTGAATACTTAGCCGTCAAGTCAAAAAGGCACAACATGCAGAAAGCCGGCCTGTGAATACTTAGCAGCATATGCATGTGAATACTTAGCCGTCAAGTCAAAAAGGCACAGCATGCAGAAAACCATGTGCAAGACGCATTAATCTAAAAATGCAACATGTGGAAAAACAACATGCATGATGGATCCGAAATCTGATGTATTCGAAAGTAACCGTTTTCGGGCCCGGCGGCCAGTGTATCGGTTGATTCAGTGAGGGTGTCGGTGACTGCCTGTGAGGGTCCGATGAGTGGTGGTGCTTTGTGGTGGTTGCTTTCCCATGTAAGAACGGCGCCCCTGTGACGGGGATCACACTCAGCACCCGAGTGGGACGGCTGAGCGAAACACACTCTGACACTTGTATTCAGTGACTCAGTTTCCACGATGGGAAGGAAGGTGAGGGAAACGTAAGGTGAAAAAGTCAGCGCAATTGAAATGTTTAACAATCTGTTCACTCATCTGCAGAAACGCGGCTGAAAGTCGGCGGCTGAAGGCAGCGGTGGGAAACTGGTTTGGGGGTGGTAGCATGAAGGACCATGAAAACAACGAACAGCAGCAGGGTGGACCAGTGGAGTCATTGTGTTGAAAGCAGGTACGTCAGTTCCGCGTCCGTCACTGATATCCTCACCATGTATTGCCAGCTTCGTTGATGGAGAAGCAATACAGGTGTCTCCATCCCCTGCGTGTGGAAAGTGGTGGAAAAACGGTGAAAAGAGTGGCGGTGGAAAACCCTTTGTCCAGGGGTGGACACACACACACACTGACACAAACATAGACACACACATGACACTGGGTTTCTAAGCATAGGGTTGGTTTGGTGAGTATCACTATCATCATCTCAAAGTCTGTGGCAATGAATCCTTTTGAGAGAACACTGCCCCCCAACCATCCCCAAAAATATATCAAAAAAACGGCAAAACCCCGCACTGGCAGACCTCAAACACGTCCGCTGCCCCACCTCCATCTGTTGCTCCAAACGTCGCACCTCCGCGGCGACGCCGCTCCGCGCTGTATAGCGGTCTCCGCTGCGCTCCTGGCAACGGGGTGGTTGCGCAGGAGAAGACACCGAACAACCACAACCACAACAACAACCACCACAACAACAACAACCACATCCACAACAACAACCACAACAAAAACAACCACAACCACAACCACAACAACAACCACAACCACAACAACAA